TGACCCAAGCGCAAGGTTCATGTACCATGTGCGAGCTACTCCTTTGAAAGTGGTGGAGAAGGCCACACACATGTAGGACTCACTGGCCCTTGCCAAGTGCATCTGCGACTGGAAGGCGTCGACATGGTCATTTGGATCGAACGATCCGTCATACTTGTCCAAGGGAGAAAGCTTGAAGTTCTTTGGCATAGGGACAACTAGAAGTTCTAGAGATAGGGGGGACGACACTGAGAGGAGCGAAGTGGCTTTCACTTCATCCAAGCTCACCTCTTCCTTATCCTTGAGCTCGGGCAGGTTGTGAGTGGCAGTTCGGCGAGCTCGGCGACGTCTCCGCTGCTTTGTTGGCTCAGCATTAGTACTGCTTGCTTCTGTGTTGCCGAGCTCGATGGGCCCAGGAAGGGGCTTGGATTGTTGCTGATGGCTGTGAACTAAAGGGCCTTGTCTACAGTCCGCGGCCAGGACCTCGAACTGGTTCTCGACGAGCAGGAGCTCGAACTGTGAAGGCCGAGGCGACGCGGGTCTGACTAGCTGAGAGGCCCCCAACCTGACTACAGGTTGCGAGGTGGGGGGAGTAACTTGTCTTTCCCTCTTGTCGTGGGATGAGACCTAACTCCCAAGAGGGTTCTGAGTTCAGGAGGTCTCTCCTCGGCGGGGAGACACTCGCTACAACGGCGGGGTTGGGCCTACTACGTAGCGGGGTGTCGAGGTGGAACTTGCTGTTGATGCTGAGGCAGCGGTGGGAANGCTCAAGGTCGTTGGCCACCTTGGCTTTCCCTTTGAGGGCGGCAACATAGCACTTGCGAGACTCGGCAGGTCGCTCTAGCTCAAGGTCGTTGGCCACCTTGGCTTTCCCTTTGAGGGCGACAACATAGCACTTGCGAGACTCGAGCTGATCGCCTCGCGCTACCCCAACTCCGAAGTCCATGGAGAACTTCATCGCCAAATAATAGGTGGAGACCACCGCACATAGAGCGTTGGTGATGGGTCATCCTATTATGGCGTTGTACGGGGAGGGAGTTGCGACCACCAAGAAGTCGTGGTGAGCCTTACTATGCTAGGCCAAGTGCCGACCTCCATAGGTACTGTGATTCTCCCCAGGGGCCTGACCTCCTCTTTGCTGAAGCCTACCAAGGGAGTACTTGCGGGCTTGAGATCGCTCTCTTGGAGCTGAATCTTGTTGAATGCTACCTTGAAAAGAATATCTGCCGAACTGTCGGAGTCGACGAGGACACGCTTGACTTCAAAGTCATTAATCCTTATCTTTACGACGAGCGCGTCATCGTGGGGGTAGTGGACCCCGCGTCCGTCATCCTTAGTGAAGAAGATCGGGTCTTCTGTCCTTGGCTGCTTCGGGGGGTTCTGCTCCTCCCTTCCGACCTCTCAAGCTAAAATCCGAGCTGCAGCCGAAGTGCAGCCCGTGACGATCGAACCTCCGACGATCACATGAATAGTCCCCCGAACTAGTCTCTCTTCAGGGGACTGCCTCTGCAGCTGCTCTGCTTTCCTGCTGCTGAACTCAGGAGCATCTCTACCTTGCTCCCCCTGTCGACCTGCTTTATTATTACTGTTTTGTACAAAATTTCTTAAGTATCCGCGACGGATGAGCTCTTCTATCTCGTCATGGAGGTTCTTACAATTCTCGGTACTATGACCGTGATCTTTATGAAAACTACAATACAAATTCTTATTTCTTACATTGGGGTCTCCTTTCAGCCGGGGTGGCCACTTCACATACGGGGCATCTTTGATCACCATAAGGATCTCGGCCCACTTCGCGTTCAGGAGTGTGTAGTCAGTCCTTTCTGCTGGAGGAGCTCGGAAAGGCTGTCCTGACCTTGCCCCCCGAGCTGGGTCTTTTTTCTTCTTGTTGTCCCCTTGGATCGAGACTCACCTTCCCTTTTCCTTTTCTTGGGCACACTTTCATTTTTTTGGTTGATCTATTCCTCCGTTCCTATGAACTGGTCCGCGAGCTTGAGGAAATTGGTTATAGTCTTGGGCCGATTGACTACCACGTGCCACTTGAACTCTTTGTGTGTGATGCCTCTCTTGGTTGTTGTGAGTCGCACTACGGGTTCCAAGTCGGGTATCTGCAAACAAGCGTCATTGAACCGCTTGATGTAACTCCGGATGGACTCTCCTTCCCTCTGAACTATGCCGAGGAGGCTCTTCTAGGTTCTCGGGCACCGCTTGCTGGTGATGAAATGAGAGGTGAAGACTTGCGCGAACTACGCCCAACTTTTCATTGATCCGGGCGCGAAGTTCCTGTACCACGTGCAGGCTACTCCTTTGAAGGTTGTTGAGAAGGCCACACACATGCAGGACTCACTGGCCCTTGCCAAGTGCATCTACGACTGGAAAACGTCAACATGGTCATTTGAATAGAACGATCCGTCATACTTGTCCAAGGAAGGAAGCTTGAAGTCCTTTGGCATAGGGACGGCTAGAAGTTCTAGAGACAGGGGGGTGGCACTAAGAGGAGCGGAGTGGCTTTCACTTCGTCTGAGCTCACCTCTTCCTTACCCTTGAGCTTGGGCAGGTTGTGAGTGGCAGTTCGGCAAGCTTGGTGACGTCTCCACTGCTTCGTTGGCTCGGCGTTAGTACTGCTTGCTTCTGTGTTGCCGAGCTCGATGGGCCCAAGGTGGGGCTCGGATTGCTGCTGATGGTTGTGAACTGAAGGGCCTTGTCTACAGTCTGCGGCCAGGACTTCAAACTGATTTTCAACGAGCAGAATCTCGAACTACGAGGGCCGAGGCAATGCGGGTCTGATCAGCTGAGAGTCCCCCGACCTGACTTCAGGTTGCGAGGTGGGGAGAGTAACTTGTCTTTCCCTCCTGCCGTGGGAAGAGACCTGACTCCCAAGAGGGTTCTGAGTTTGGGAGGTCTCTCCTCGGCGGGGGACACACTTGCTGCGATGGTGGGGTTGAGCCTGCTGCGTAGCGGGGTGTCGAGGTGGAACTTGCTGTTGATGCTGAGGCAGCGGTGGGAACTGCTGCTGGTACTGCTATTGGTAGACGTGGTGGAGCATTTGCTGCTGGTTCAGCTGGAACTGGTGGACCTGCTGCATTTGAGCCTGCATAGTTCGCACGTAGTGTACCAAGTTTTCTAGCTGGTTCTATCCGACCACCGGGAGAACTGACGGTTCTGCAAAGGTCACCTCCACTGGCGAAGGGAGTGGAGCATTTACTGGTGCCATGACCAGAGGCGCGCTCAGGGTAGGGATTCCATCCGCGGAGAGGGGTATAGTGAACTGGCCAATGCAGACGGTATGGAGCTGAGGTCGTTCCCCGGAGGTGTTTTGGTTGGCACTTTGTCCGGCGTTGTTGGAGGAAGCCATTGAAGTCTTACTAAAAGTTGCAGTGTTTGGTGTAGGAAGGCCTTTTGAAGCGATTCCCACAGACGGCGCCAAATGATGTAGCGAGATCTAGTCACTCCTAGCTGGCAGGGACCTCGCTCCTAGCTGACGACAGACGACACCTGAGAAGGAGAAGATGAAGGATTCACGAGGAGCTCGCCCGGTGGGAACACTCCGATGGTTAAGTTAGAACTCGGTAGAGAGCTTAGGGAGTTGCGAAGAAATAAATGCTAAGAGTGAAGATGCGCAATTTTGACTACCTTTGCCCCTTGGAAATCGGGGCCTTTATATACTGATGCTCTGTCAAATCGGGTGTAACCGCCTCTGATTCTTTGATACAACCGTTATTCGCCAGGCTGTCATGCACGATGCCGCCTGGCGTTGAGATGTGGGCGCAGTCCTCTGGACTGGCAGGTGCTGCGCCGCCAGACAAGAGATGTGGGAGCAGTCTGACAGGCACGGTCTTGTCGAATAAGAAGTTTCCCGAAGACTCCGGGTTGCTCAATAGCGAGCTCCTTCGTAGCGAGCTCCTTTGTAGCGAGCTCCAATAGCGGTTGCCTTGCAGCAAGCCGTTCTGCACCGAGCTGTAGCGAGTTGTCTTGTGGCGAGCTGTTCATGTTGGGTTTTCAGCGAGCTCCCTCCCTACGCCGAGTTGTGGCCAAGCTGTCATGCTGAGCTGCCATTTACGTCGAGTCATGTCCACGTGTCCCCTGGTTAGGAGGTCGGGTCAAATAACCCTCCATCACCCCCCATCCCTGTCCCCGATCCCCAGCGGGGAAAGGAATGACCCTCCATCCCCGACCTCGACGGGATGAATTCCCCGTCGGAGACCCAAATCCCCAACGAGATATGTATTTACACATCCTAGATCATACTGTGAGAGAAAGACTGAGAGTCTGAGACAAAGAGGCTGAGATTGAGAGAGAGAGAAAGAGAGAGAGAGAGAAAGAGAGAGAGAGAGAGAGAGCAAACCATTGCGAGAGTTGAGGTCGGCGACGAGAGAGAGAGTCTGACGGGTGACGACGATGGCAGTCAACAAGACGACGACGATAGACAAAGGTTGAAGGAAGATTAAAGAACTGAAACTCTTCTTTAAGTATCTCTTCTCTGCCCTCTGTCGAGACTCGAGTATCTCTGTCCTCTGTCCGATGTCCGACGGGCGAGTGGCGACAACGATGACGGTCGGCGAATCAATGACGAAGACAAAGGAAGACAAAGCTAGGGTTCAGAGAAAGTGTTCTCTCTTCTCTCTGTCAAAGACTCAAAGTTGAAGTGTTTTGTGTTTTACTGTCGAGGGTTTTGTGTTTTACTTTTAATCTTTTGAAGAAAACGAATAATAATTATTATAATTATATAATATTATATTATATCATATTATATATACTAAATTTATATATTAATCGGAGCTGAGTTGGGGCGGGGATTGCATTCCCCATCCCCGACCCTGATCGAGGATTCAGAGATCACCCTATCCCCGACCCCGACCCCGACCCCAACCCCGACCCCGACCCCAATCCCACCAAAGTACCCCATACCCGACCCCGTCGGGTCGGGGAGCCCGGGTAGCCGTTGGGGACGGGGAAAATTGCCACCTCTAAAAATAAGCAAAAACCTAATAGAAAATTTCGATTTATTCGATTCATTTTAACCGAATAAACTCCGGCTGATATAAAAGCGTTTACGGTGATCACTTCCGAACGGACCCTCGTGAAGATTGTGTAAAAGATTTACAGTTGATAACTTGATACTGCTACCGATACACCGCCCTGCTACCGTATAATGCAATCTCCTTTATCACCAGCTTCCTCTTCGCAAGTAATGAAATCAATGATATAGCGAAGTATCTTCTGAAATAAAATGTTCGTATTTTAGGGTTTCGTATTCTAAATTTAGGGTTCACTCTGTTATGTAAGTCGAATACCAGAGGTTTTCTTTTTTGACTCTTTTTTGAATGCGAGCACCTGATGATTCATCTGAAAGGGGGGCGCGCATTGCTTCTAAAGTACCGAAAACATCCGATTCCTTTTGTTCTCGACACCACCCCAAGTCTTAAAAAAGAACTTGAACCCAACGAAACTGCTCTGAAGGAACCCCATGTTGTGAAGCGATTGAAGCAAGAGAGAGACATCACAGTGGCTATGGAGTACTTCAAGTACGTGACCAATTCGAAAGGTTTCAGACATACCTATCTAACGTATCAAATCATGATCGAGAAGCTCGGGGAGGAGCGTCAAATTGATGGCATTCAGTACCTCTTACAGCAAATGAAATTAGAAGGAATTAGCTGCTCGGAAGAATTATTTATCAACGTCATAAATTCTTATAGGCGAGCTGGGGCTGCCGATCAGGCTTTGAAGACATTCTACCGGATGCAGGATTTTGATTGTAAACCTACAGTCAAGATTTACAATCATCTCTTGGATGCATTGCTTAATGAGAGCAGGTTTCAGGTGATCAGCCCGATCTATAATAATATGAAGAAAGATGGTATTGAGCCTAACATTTTCACATACAACATTCTTATGAAGGCGTTGTGCAAAAATAATCGAGTGGATGGCGCTTGCAGACTGCTCGTAGAGATGTCGAAGAAGGGGTGTTCTCCTGATTCAGTAAGCTACACTACCATAGTATCCGCTCTATGTAGGCTCGGTAGGCTGGAGGAAGCAAAGGAGCTTGCAATTCAATTCACTCCCTTTGTCCCTGTCTATAATGCTTTGATAAATGGGTTTTGCAGAGAATCCAAAATCAAAGATGCATTCCTCTTGGTAGATGAAATGGTGAATCGGGGAATTGGCCCTAATGTAATTACATACACAACTATCATCAATGCACTTTGTGAGGTTGGGAATGTTGAGCTGTCTCTTGTTGTTTTGGCCCAAATGTTGGTGAGAGGGTGTACTCCTAATATTCATACTTTTACTTCCTTGATAAAGGGTTTCTTCCAAAAAGGAAGAGTATGTGAAGCTGTCAAAGTATGGGATTGGATGGTTGGAAATGATTGTTGCCCTAACATTGTTGCATACAATACATTGATACACGGTCTCTGTTCTAGGGGGGATGTCAATAGGGCTATATCCATTTTTTTCCAAATGGAGGAAAAGAGATGCCCACCAAATGTCAAAACCTATACTATACTACTTAATAGCTTTGCAAAAGGTGGAGATATAGAGGGTGTGGCAGAGATATGGAACAGGATGATAAACCGTGGTTGCCACCCTAACGTTGTGGCATATACTTGCATGGTGGACGCCCTTTGCAGGAATTCAATGTATAACCAAGCCCAGTGCCTTATTGAGAATATGGATTTGGAAAATTGCTGGCCAAACACAATAACATTTAATGCATTTATCAAAGGTTTATGTCGAGATGGAAGAGCAGGTTGGGCAATATATATGCTTGATGAAATGGAAAAGCGAGGGTGTCTTCCTAATGTCACAACCTATAATGAGCTGCTGGATGGTCTCTGCAGAGAAGGAAACATCGGAGAAGCCTCTCTGCTTGTGAAGAAGATGTCTGAAAAGGGAATTGAATTCAATCTTGTGACTTACAACACAATTATGCGTGGCCTTTCTTCTGTTGGTCTGGTGGCAGAGGTTTTGCAGTACTTAGGAAGGATGGTAGTTAAGGGAATTAAGCCCGACTTGATCACATTTAACACAATTATCCATGGCTACTGTAAGGAAGGTGAGGTCAAGACTGCCATCCAACTTATGGATAGAATGAGTTCAGAAGGGTGCTCTCCAGACTTGTTAACATACAGTTTTCTGATATATGGCCTTTGCAAATGGTTTAGCTTAGAAGAAGCCATGGTTTTTCTTTTTAAGATGCTTAATGAAGGCCTTTCCCCAAATGCAGCCATATGGAATATCTTGGTGCGGTGTTTTTTCAGCAAGATGGGTCCTCCAGGGTCAATTCAGTTGCTGAATACCTTGGCAAATGGATAGGATTTCAGTGCTTTCAGATTTCCTTGTGAAGATTGAGATTACCCAAGAATCTGTCTCCTGGTTTGATGATCAATAATAAAGAAGGTAAGCAGCTAAGAATATCTAGTAAATAGTTTTAGAATTTTAAGTTGGAGGGTCTCATCTCTGATCTAGGTCTACAATCTTGAAAGCAACTGATTTATGCTAGCTTCTCAAATTTCAAATATTGGCACAATATGAAATTCTGTCAGCAATATGGCCATAACTACCATAGGTGACATCTCATTCAGATAGACCCGGAGATCAACAAACACTTTGGTGATAGTTTTACTAGGTAAGGATGGAGAGGGTTAATTTGGATTGGTGAAGCAGTGCTCCTGCTAGACCTCACCCAAAATAGAGCTCCTAAAATTTCAAATATTGGCACAATAAATTCTGTCAGCAATATGGCCATAACTACCATAGGTGACATCTCATTCAGATAGACCTGGAGGTCAACAAATACTTGTGGGATAGTTTGACTAGGTAAGGATGGAAAGGGCTAATTTGTCTTGGTAACTTTTTATCTTCATATTTTTGGGTTAAAAAAGTTTCTCTTATTGAATCAGAAAAAAAGAGAACATTTATTAAATGACATTAGATTTGCAAGAGTTTGCCTTGTTGGTGAGATAGCCTATCCAGTGCCATCAAAAATCAAAGCAATGCACAAGTTTTCCACCTAAAACTTAGGCTGCAAGAAAAGTACTGGGCTCGAAACTTCCATTTTTTTTTGATAAGTAAAAGGAAAATTTTATTAAAGAAACATTCACAACATCTAAAAACTCTCTAATAAGATTCTTAAACCAAATAATATGGAACTCCAATGGGAAGACAGCTATCTAGTGACACAAGGATAATATGGTTTCCACATAACCATGATATGGCTAACCAAATAATATGGAATCAGTTAACTTTTCTCAAAAAAAAAGAAAGATATGGCTAACCAGTTGAAGGATACCAACAGTACCAAACATGCTAATAATAATGCAAATTTCTATGAGCTTCTTAAGGATTTTTATGCCTTTCTCCAAGGATCTTGGAACAGGCTGGATACCCCTGCACCATCCAGGTAGACAGTGGCTTGCAAATTCCAGCAAAATGCTACTATATTTCTAGGTTAAGAGGCTGAGGATCCAACTGGGCCAGGGTTATTGATTGGGCTGTCATGAAAATTCACTTCGACTTCTTGATTAGGTCTCAGTATTACATGGATCCAAGTCAGTATTTCTTGATGGAAATTCTCCAAAATGTCTCTTGCAACACTATTACACTGAATCCCCAATGTCAGATAGGAGATGATCCTGTTAAGGAGAGGAGGCTGATTTACCTTTGAAAGTGTGGATATTCCTTTACTCCCTATCATCATCATCCAAGCCTTATCCCAACTATATGGTGATGGCTACATAAATCCTGTTTCACCATTCTGTTTTATTTAATGCCATATCCATTGTTAAATTTATGGGTGCTTAAATCATTTCTCACTGCTTTTACCCATGTCCTTTTTGGCCTACTCCTAGCCCTTCTAGCCCCTTTAACTTATAACAAATCACCTCTTCTTATGGGTGCTATTGATGGTCTTCTATGCACATGACCAAACCATCTTAGTTTACTTTCTCTCATTTTATCACCTATTGGAGCTACTTCTTAGGTTCCCTCAGATGATTTCAGTACTAATCCTATGCTTCTAGTTTTTCCACTCATTCATCTCAACATATGCAATTCTGCCACAATCCTTACAACTGTTTTATAGAATTTTTCTTTCAATATAAGTGGCATTTACCTATCACATTGAAATCCGGATTCACTCCTCCATATGACCCATCTTGCTCTAATTCTTTGTGCAACAATAACATCCTCTTCAATCTCTCCCTTGTTATGAATTATCAAACTAAGGTATTGGAAACGGTCACATTATGTTATCTCTTGGTTTCCAATCCTAATTGTATCGTGATTTGCACTCTTATTATCACTATATACATATCATATATTCTGTTCTAGTCCTACTTATTTTAAAACCTCTTGTTTCTAAGGTATTTGTCTATAAGCTTAATTTTGTATTCAATCCTTCATTAATTTCATCAATTAAAACAATGTTATCAGCAAACAACATGCGCCATGGGACCTTCTCCTCAATATTCTTAGACAATTCATCTATGATCAATGCAAATGAATAAGGGCTAAGTGCTGAAACATGGTGAAGCATGGGGACAACTTTGCTCTGCATGACCAGCATGTAGGCCATTCACATGTTAATTCAATGGAAGGAAGGGAAATGTTTCCTGGTAAGAATCTGAAAGGAACACTTTACAAAGAGTGCCCTTGAAGTTTATAGGTAGGCTGATGCAAAATGAATGATGAGATAACTTGGAACATGGTAGAAGAAATTGATTATATAATGTCATTTGCCATGTCTAAATGGTTTTTAAAATATTAATTATTAATAAATTTACAGTAATTAGAAAATATTCTACACTTCCAGCTCCTGTTGTAAGCAACCAAAATTCTGGTGCTTATTTTTTTGATCCTGGTGTTCTCTGACAGTTGGAAAGTCTTCTGGCAATAGTACAAGGGGTATGGTCAGATAATCCTGCTTTGCAATTGGCAGCAACTACTCAATTCAGGAAACTTCTATCAATTGGCAAGTTTGACATTCTGTGCACTGGGATGGTTTTTTCACTGGTCTTTCCCTGGTTTCCTGGTAATTAGTTCTGCTGGGTTTTGGTTTACATACTTGTGCAGAGTGCAGCCCTCCCATTGAGGAGGTAATCAAGGCAGGTTTTGTACCTTGGTTTTTTGAATTTCTTGAAAGGCATGATCTGCCTCAACTGCAAGTATGGACCATTTATAACCATCTCTCTCTTCTTTCAATTATATACTGTATGCAAAGGATCCATTCTGTAATTTTCATTAGGTTTAATGAAACCTTTGTGTGCAGTTTGAGGCTGCATGGGCTTTGACTAATATTGCATCTGGGGTATCAGAACATACACGTATTGTCATTGGCCATGGTGCTGTCCCTAAATTTGTGCAACTTCTTTCTTCATGAAGTGGTGATGTCCGAGAACAGGTTAGTTCAAGTTTCCTTTACTTTGTCATTTTTTTGGTCCTTGGAGAAGTGGTCTCATTCTCTCTCTCCCTCTTTGGCTATGTGGGCCTTCAGTAATGTAGCTGGTGACTCACCAACCTGTAGGGATCTTGTCCTTGGTCATGGTGCCCTCATGCCATTACTGGCTCAGTTAAATGAACGGTCAATCTATGCTACGGAATGCTGCCTGGACCTTATCGAATTTCTGTGATTCTGTCATTGGAGACCACCAACACCATTTGACCAGGTGAGACATCTATGGAGTTATGTTAATTTGGTAGGATTACTTTTGAAGAGGATGTTAGATTCTTAGACGTGTTAATTTACTATCGTGTTGTCTTTTATCAGGTGAAGCCTGCACTGCCAGCCCTTCAGTGCCTTATCCACTCAAGTTATGAAGTTCCAAGAGATGCATGCTGGGCTTTGTCTTATCTTTCTGATGGCACAAATGACAAAATTCAGGCTGTGTTTGAGGCAAGAGTCTGTCAACGACTTGTGGAGCTTCTCCTGTAAGATTCTATTGAAGAACTTCTCAACCTTGGGGTTTACTTAAAAAGAAACTTCTTGTAACAGATATATAGTTGCTGTTACTGGAACCTTTTGGTTAAGTGTAGTGAGGATTTTTGTAACTACTATTTTTTCCCCAAGAGCTGGCTTTGTTTATCTTCTCTATATTGTATTCTTGGTCATGGATGGAAATAGTAAAACTACCATTACCAACTTCTTTTTATTTTTTTAACAGACACCACCTACTGTTCTTGTGCCTGCTCTTTGGACAGTTGGAAACATTGTCACAGGAGATGATGCCCAAACTCGTTTATTTATCTCGTTGCCTTGTTAGTTTGTTCTCATTTGAGCACTTATCATTTCTTGACATGTGACTCTAAATACTCCATCTTGGGAAATTTGGTGGTTCTAGTCATTCCGTGGTATGTGAGTCTCCATGGCTTTTTATGGGAGTATTGTTTGAAAAGGGAATTCTCAGTTGGTGATTTCTTGGGCAGGCAGTAGGTTTGGTAGTCCTTGTAGATTGCTGCATTTTATTAGGGGACTTGACAAAGTGCATCTAGAGCAGATTTACTTGGGATTATTTGCTACTAAAGGTGTTTATTCTATGTTGTATGCTTTTGGCCTTCTAGGCTTTTGATTTGCGCTTTCTGTCCCCCCACTTCCAGGTTGCTTAAAGAAAGAAAGGGATTGGTAGTACAAAACTGAATATAATCAATGTTGGCAAAAGAAAAAGGCTGACTCTCTTTGTATCATTGCTATGCGAGTATTGTTGTGGAAGGGTATTCTCAGTACAGTTTGTCATTGCTTGGTCAGGCAGCAGGCTTTGGTGGTCCTTGGAGATTGCTGCATATATCATGGGGGTTCATGAAATTGGCATCTAGCGCAGACCATTTTGGGGTTATTTACTAATGTTGTTTCTTTCTTGTATTCTTTTGGCCTCTTAGGCTCTTGGTTCATGGGTTTCTACACCATTGGCTTTGTGTTTTCTACTAGCGGGGACCCGTGCGATGCATAGACTTTGGTGAGGAGAAGTGAAATAATGGAAATACATAATAGTAAACACTTTTTTTTTTCTATTTTTCATTGTAACACTATGAACTAATATCATTATAGGCAAGGATTATAATGTTTAAATTATATAATTCATAATTTATATAAAAAAACAAATGTATTTTAAATACAATATGAACCATTAACTTCTTTGAAGATTATTGATAATTAGTACATATTTTCAAAAAGTAATTTTAATGGTTATATTTTTTAATTTTTGGTAATTTATCATATTTATTGGAAATCATGTTAATCCATTTTTGATGAATTCTTGGATAATTTTTGGTAATTATGACAAAATTATTGGTACTTTATTTATGGTTATCTTCTTGGCTAATTTATGTTCATTAAATATAATTTTCTGCTATTTATAGCTTAAATTATATTTAAATATAACCACTTTTAATTAAAATTTAATTATATTACTTACAGTTTAAAATATAATTTAAATTATAACTTACATTAACTAACAATTTAAAAAACTGTTAATTAATGAATTAATAAAAATATTAATATTTTTTAATAAATACAGCATTTTAATAAATACCGTTAATTAATAAATATGGCAATTAATAATACTGCAATTATTGAAAAACTATAAAATATGGTTAATTATTAATACTGTAATTATTAAAAATACTGTTAATAAAAATAAATTATTTTTAATAAATAATATTAATTAATTAATTAAAATACTATAATTATTTAAAGTACTATATTAATTAAAAAACTGTTAATTAATAAATTTGGTATTTCAATAAATACTTTTAATTATTAATAATACTGCAATTATTATAAATACTGTATTAATTAAAAGTACAATTAATATTGTTAATGAATGAAATAATGTAATTATTTAATTATTGTTAATTAATAAATACTGTAATTGTTAATACTGTTTTTGAATAAATTATAGTTTACATTATATTAATTAATAAATACATTATCTAATACTATTTTTTGAATAAATACTGATAATTATTTAAAAATATTATAATTATTAAAAATATTGTTTATTAATAAATACGGTTAATACTGTTAATTAATAAAACATTGTTAACTATTAAAAATATTGTATTTATTATTAATACTTTAAATTTTAAAATATAGTAATTATTATTACTACTCCCAAATCTCTCTCTCTCTCTTCAATGTCTTTTTGAAATGTATTAATAACTTACATTAAAATAAAAGGCATTGGAAAACCCAAAGGTCTCTCTCAGTAATAGTGTGTAGCTTTGCTAATCTAATCAAGATAAGCAATGACTACTTTTTTATATTTTTAAAACAAAAGAAAATAGAAAAAATGCAAAAAATTGAAAAAATAGATAAATAGCTTCTCTCAAAAAGTAATTTTAATGGTTATATTTTTATTTTTGGTAATTTATCATATTTATTGGAAAACATGTTAATCTTTTTTTGGTTATTTTCTTCTATGATTTGTGCATTAAATGTAATTTTTTGCTATTTATAGCTTAAATTATATTTAAATAAATAATTTAAATATAATTACTTTCAATTACTATGTAAAAATTTATCTAAAAATACTGTTAATTAATAAATACATTATTATTAATAAATATAGCTTAAATTATATTTAACATTGTTAATTAATAAAAATGTTGTTAATTATTAAAAATACTATAAATTTTAAAATACAGTAATTATTATTACTACTCCCTCCCTCCTTTCTCTCTCTCTCTCTCTCTCTCTCTCTCTAATAGTGTGCATCTTTATTAATCTAATCAAGATAAGCAATTATTAATTTTTTATATTTTTAAAACAAGAGAAAATAGGAAAAAATACAAAAAAAATGGAGAAAATAGATAAATAGCTTCTCTTAAAGAGAGACATGCTGACATGGACCGCCCGATTTTATTATATATAGATACCTCCCCAGGTTGCTAAAAGAAAGAAAGATAGGAATAGACAAATATACGAGTAGATAAATCAAATTTTGCTAAAAGAAAGGAAGAAATGTATCAATGGCATCCTTGAAAATTTGGTGTACATGAGTGATAAGGACCCAGGCCATTGCAGGTCCAGAAGCCTAAGCCTCTAATCATTCACACTTATTAGAGGAAACACCAAAGGAAGCTGGCCCAGGCCCATGCATCTAGGAATGACATGTTAGTTGGTCCCTCGATCTGAAATCGCTACACTGATAGAGTTAGTTAAAGATATTTTGGTTGTAATCACAACTTTATATATATCATGGTTGGCCATGGAATGAAACACGAACATTACAGAGCCTATCCTCTCTCTCTCTCTCTCTCTCTCTCTCTCTCTCTCTCTCTCTTCTTCTTCCATTCTATTTCAAGAGGTTGTGTCTCCCTCTAAGAGACTCCTGCCGGTGAGCAGTATCTCATCAGATTGGTATCAGAATCAGGTTGAATAACACTCGATTGGTGAAACTGGATGATCGGGTGGATAAAGTGGAAGTGGAAATCCACCAGGTGATGACCGACCTTAGGGAGATTAAGGAAGCAATCACTGCAATGGCATCCCAAAAGGAGAAAACCACCACCGTTGTTGGTCGCGACAACGACAATGAGGAGTCTAGTTGGGGCAGCAATAGAAGAGGAGGTTTAACTCCAAGAAGGGTCACTAAACTAGACTTCCCGACCTTTTACGGAGGAGATCCAATCCCCTGGTTCTTTAAGGCGGAGAAATATTTCGAATACCACGAGGTGCGGGCTCATTAACAAGTGATCGTCGCTTTGTTCCACTTGGAAGGCGAGGCGATATTATGGTTCCAGTGGTCCAAGCGTTCTCGTCCCTAGATAGCATGGTCGGAATTCATGGAGGCACTGTGCATTAGGTTTGGACCAATGGGGTTCGACGATTACAGCGAGATGTTGTCCAGAGTGAAGCAAACCGGATCGGTGCGGGATTATCAGATCGAGTCCGAGGATGTGTACAAAACGGCCTTCCAAACCCATGATAGTCATTACTAATTCTTGGTCATGCCTTGGGCTCTCTCCAATGTCCCATCTACCTTCCAATCCATTATGAACAATGAATGCCTTCAGGCCTTACCTTCGGTGATTTA